GCGAGCTACCAATGACTCCTGTTCCCGCTGATGGGCCGCTGGTCATTCTGACCAGTGATTTCCTTTTAACTCATATCTTTGTTTTAATTAAAGTATTCATCCGCCCGCCTTCTGCATTTTCACTTGTTCATATATGCTGTTTGAGCCATTGTGCTGGTTAAACCTACACCAGCCACTGTGTAAACAAAATCTCACCGGCCCGATCTGTCACTCAGCCCGTCCCTCTCCTTAACCAAACACACTCGCCAATCCCTCCACTACATGCAAACACGGCGCCTGGCCGTACCTCACCTGTTATCTGCCCAGCGCCAGCCTCCGGCCCCTTTTTCTTCCCTAGTTTATGAGAAAGTGCGTCCTTGTATATAGATTATATGCAAATCTGTGGAGTTTCTGTGGTGGTTTTTGCTGGCGCTTGTGATTTGTCATGTTTGCGACAGTGTCTTAAAGGGATAGTTTATCTAAAAAAATGAAAATTCTGTCACTTACTTCACCTTCGTTTAGTTCCAAACCTATGTGACTTTATTCCATGGAAAAGTAATGCAGAAATTTTTAATTGTTCATGTTGTTATTTGTTATATAGTAAAAGCATATTGTGAACGAAGCTTCATAACAGTAGTCCATACAAATTAAGCTCTGTATTCCAAGTTTACTGAAGCTATATGATACTTTTGTGCAAGAACCAGAGAAAATTTAAGTCATTCACATCTAGGATGATTAGGGTTGGGTACCGAAACCCGGTGCCAATATGGGAAATGAGAGCATCCGAGGAGCGCGTGAATGCAGCAACAATTACACTTGCTCTGACTGCAGCAGGTAGTCTACCGTTAGCTAGCTAAGCTAAACATGAAAATGCTTAATGAACGCTTAAATGAAAATGCCTAAAGCTAAACTTCCCTTGTAATGACTTGCAATGAGAAGCGTTTCTAAACCTGTTGTCCAACAAAAGAGAACACTATACCGTTTTTACTCCACAACTACTTCCTTTTGTGATCTGATGTGGCTTCTTGTCACAGAATGAGGCAGAAAATATGTTCTATACTGTAAAAAGCATATGGTAAAAAGGCTATGTCGATTAGCAATGGATTATAAATATACTTAATTATGATGAAAATACCAAAGATGGCTTGAATAACACAGATAAACTATACATTGTTGCAGTC